CGCTCCGTCTCTATTTTCGCATACATGTCCACTATAAATTGGTAAAACAACCCCCGAAATCTTTGCAGATACGCAAGAAGATATATGCCTTACATGTAACAGGTGCGAATAAAATTGCAGAGCAAATATTTTTTTATTAAAATTGGTCTCTCTGGTATTAGGATTAACTTGATAAATTCCAAAATTGTACCCATTTTCACCGTGACAATATATTAATGGATATTGTAGAGCATCATAATATCGATGCGTTTCATAAATCCCTGGCAGTCGATCGTCATGTGTGTGCAACACGATGTCACGTCTATCGCACTCCTGGTCAACTAATACCACTGCCACTTCATCAGTGACAGGAACGTTGCTACCGCGGTGTTCAGTAACCTTTTTTTTTTTAGTAACAGGACGTCTGTCAGCGTTAATAACTATTTTATAATTGTTTATTAAATCTTGACGGATCGATTGCAATGCAACCCTAAAACTATGAACGTATGGATTTATTTCATGTAGCATCCTTTGAAGTTGGGATATGAGTTCGCTATTGAGTTGTGGGAAGTTGTGATTTCGGATATTAGTATGTTCATTATAATCTGATACAAAATAAATTGACTATTTTACTTATATATACATATATATTTATAACTCATAATATATATCATTTAATTTAATTTATTAAGTTGAAATTGAAATTGAAAATCTATAATATCTACATTGGTTCTGGGTAATGTATGGTTATTTGTGAGACTGTGACTGCGCGTCAGTGAGTCTCAATATGATTCGGAGTATCTTCACGCCGTAATTCAGAAAAGAATGTAATTTGTACAATGCCATCTATTACGTTCGTTGTGAGAAAACTTTTTTAATTTAAGGAAAACATCTTTTTTATTGTTTACTTTGTTTTAAGTATAAATATATTATTATAGAACGTTTTTTACACACAAATCTTTTTATTACTTTTTCTGAGATTTTATGGCGCCATTGAACAAATTAGAACCTACATTTTAAACTAATAATCATAACTTTCGCTAGAATTAACCAAATTTAATAAAACAAAAATTAAATGTAACTTGAAGATACGCTTTATGATTTTCTTAACGATTTCTTTTAAAAAAAATGTTTACTTTAGATGTGATGCGTTTATAAACAAACAGACAGACAGACAGACAATTCTAAAAATTATAAAAATGTGTTTACTTAATTATTTTCATTTCTCTATAATGATTTTAGTGACAAATATTCTATACAATGTACAAAAACAGACACAACATGTTATCACCATTTTTATTATAAGTATATATTTAAAGAGAGATGGCACTGCTAACAGCAATCATCAATTCTAAAAATAAAAGAGATTAATTGACGCGATTGGTACATTATTATATATATAAAACATTAAAGAACTTATAAACCAGTGTCTGCATAGTAAGCAAAACGCCTTTTTATATTACATTTGGGCCACACCGCCATCTATCGATGAAATTGGTTAACTATTTCACTTTAGATTTAGTTAATAAGGTTATAATATATTTTTGTATATTATTTTATTTAATACGTTCTTTAATACTTTTGTTTACTGCGTTTTAGATATAATTATATCATTATAGAACATTATTTTACCCAATTTAATTATGATTTATGATATAGTATTAGTTTAAAATGCACTTGATGACTCAACCAACGCCACCGTTGAACAAATTCGTACCTATACTTCGTATTCATACTTCAGAATATTTATCATAACTTTTGATTGAATGAGCTGATTTTAATAAAATAAAGACTAAATGTAACACGAAGATACACTTTATATTTTTCTTAATGATTCTTATGATATAAATTAGTACTTTATACGTGATACGTTTACAAACAAACAGACAGACAGACAGACAGACAGACAGACAGAAAATTCTAAAAATGGTAGAAATGTATTTAGTTACTTATTTTTAGTACCTCTCAACCACTTTTATTACAAAAATATAAAATGTACAGACGTCTGCTTTTTACATTTTTATTATATGTATAGATATAATTTATACTGGTGGTTGTTATTGGTGAAACTCCTTCATCCGACCGGGTATCTACCCTGATAATGAAGTGAGGCGAAACCGGTCTGTTTAAGTATAAATGAATAATAAACAAGTCTATATTATGTTAATTCTATTCATAGTTGATACAAACTGTTCAAATAGTGAACCTAAGTATATATCTATTGAAACCGTAAATTAAAAAAATAATCGTAACAGAACTCCCGGGTGATGTGAAACATCATAGTTGATGGTAGAATTTATAATTAATGTTAACCAATAACAAATATGGAGTAAAATAAATATAATATTAAAAAGAAATACAAAGTGTGCATACAACGTATAATCGAACGTAGAGCCATGCTGCAACTATATTACTGGTATAGTTACAACGTTAGTATGCAACGCATCTGCATTTTGATTCGTAATCGTTGATGGATGTGGATGTCTATGGGCCACAGCAAGCACTTACCATCAGGTGGACTGTCTGCTCGTTTGTCATCCTTATCTTATAAAAAAATACAAGCGGTGAACGCGTCAAGTATACTATAGTTAAGTTGAGAGGCACACCTTACTAGGTAAATTCACAACTTACATAGAGAAGCAATGAATATTATACGCGCACGCATACACAAAGGAGTCGAGAGCGGTGGCGTAGAGGGCATGACGACATAAGAGAGCGTCATGCCGTTTGCCGTCACAATATATGAGTCGGTTTTACTGTCAAGGCGCCTAAATACATATTTCACATCAAACATTTTTGAACTGTGTATGTTGGGTTTCAGTCCCATAAGAAATTCATACTTATAAAAATATATAATATAGCTACAGTAACCTTTTCTTTACATGGGGAAATGCCTATGCATACCCGCCACGCGGGGGCAAGTACGGGTTATGTTGGACTCGCACCGACTAAAACCCCACGGTGTTCCACCTTAGCCGCATATTGGTAGGGCCACGGGAACGCTTTCGCACACAGCCGCGGCCCCAGCAGCGCCGGCCTCGGGGTAGGACCTCTCCTCCTCATTCTCCTTCTCAGGCATGGCGCACCAGAAACACAAGGCACGCCTCCCTCCACGGCCTCCAACTCCACCTGCGTATCGGACCCCCCTCCCTCCCCCAGCCCGATACGCGGAGGCCATGGGGCCAGGAAAATCGAGCGCTTAGTGACACCCGTTTCTCCGACCCCAGCGGCGGATCTGGCCTATGGCTCCGCCGCCAACCAAGTTTTGGCCGCGGAGGGTAGGGAGAGCGGCGCCTCGCAATACCGACACTCCTCTCCCCCCGCGGCCCCACCAACACCGCATCAACGGTGCTGCCCCGTCAGAGTAGTGGAGGATAGGGTGAGTGGCGCATCACCATACCAACACTACTCTTCCTCCGCGACTCCACCTCGGTAGGGGGAGAGGACACCCCTCTCACCGCAGCCCACCGACACACATCCGAAGTGGGCTCGCCAAGCCCACTCGGAGTGTCCACCTCGGGCCAGCCAAGGGGTTCCTCTTTGTTCACCGCGAGTGACCAAGCCACGGCTACTAAGCCTCCCCGCCACGACAAGGCGGGAACCCGTTCGGGGGGAAGCTACAATAACCTAATGGCAGGGTGCAGACCGCGAACTCAAAAAGGTCGTAGGTTGGAATCCGCTATTCGACTAATGTCGAGAACCACTCCTAAGAAGCATTTTAAGCTTACCAGGAGTGGCTAAAGGAATATTAGTAATGTTAGTAGTTTAATAGTGCTATAATTTTAAAAAAAATCAAGCTTCGTTTTAACTTATCCTTGTCCATAATATAATGCAATCGTATTCTTTGCTGTAAAAATTACCTGGCGCCAAAACATTTACTTTTATTTTTATTAAAAAACTAACTATGAGGTATATTTCTGATGGTTATTTTGTCTCTCAGTTCACTTCACAGACGCGTGTAAGTTTAACATATGAGGTATCGTTAGATTTGTCTTAGTTGTAGAAGTGAGATTGAATGATTTTCTCTTTTCAGTAAAGTTTTTTACGCAGTTTTTTTTTTAATTATGTTTTAACAATTGAGCTCGTCAATTTATGTAATGTATGTTTGTCTCGGTCATTTGTCTACAGTTTACTGCTAGACCAGATTTTCAACGTGTCATAACAACGTTGTAGACAATATATAAAAAATTAAATTGCCATTTCCATGGCTTCCCACATGATAGATGAAGAGATTAAAAAAATAGATTGAGTTAAACAATTGATATTTTCAAAAGTTATCGTGTTTACCACTCCATGGGGACTTGATAAGTCTACACCATAAGCCACTAAAACCACTTTTTTATGTAAAAATAGCAATTAAGCGATTTAAAAAAGAAATAATAATTTCGACAATAATTTATCTTTCCGACAATGTGCTTCTTATATCATTTTTATGTTCAATATGATTGTTAGATACGATTTCATGCGACAAAACGTTGTAATCTTGATTTTTAGGCGATAGTAGAAAATACCTAAGCGCTTTGCGCTTAAGGCATGTAATATTTGAAAGATCATACACTGGCGTGCTAATACGTACGACTCAAATACCAAAGATGACAAAAATATCGATAACAAATGTTTGATACATTTGTTATCGCTATATTTTTCCATTGTGTTGTTTGTGCCAAAACATGTTTGAACATATTGTTTCACGTAATGGGTATTAATTTTTAATGTGTGTGACTTTTGCATATAGAATATGTGTTGGCTTATATTAGTTTTTTGTTTCTTACCGGAAACATAATATTAGGTACTATGTTTTACATTGTCTTGTGATCGTAGGTACATGTATTAACAGTGGTAGAGCCACGCTGCAGTTATGTTTGTAGCACGAATGGGTCGGCTCGACCGGGGTGGGACTGCGCTCTCGCAGAATGCCTGCGTAAAATACGAGTAGCAGCTTAATCCATTACCATCAGATGGATTGTTACACTTATTCTATTTAAAAAAACGTGGTTCTACATTGTGTGTCCCACCGACAGGTGTATGCGTCCCCTAGTCGCCGGAAAATGGACACGAAGGGCGAGGGCGAGGAGATGACTTATCCGCACATCTGCTTCATGGTTGACAACTTTGACGAGGTACGTACCATCTTGTAATAAAAGCGGTTGCGAAAATGTCTTTTTAATTACAATGATACTTATTTAAAGCCAAGGTAATATGTACTACGTACTAGAAGAGACGCTGGGGCGTTGTTGTTTGCAACATGTAGTAGAGCCCGTGGCGTATTACTATTATTTATTCTGTGCCCGTGGACTTAAACTTACTTTATTACTTATTCTGTGCCATAAAAAGGTAATCTGTGCTTCCTTCCACGCGGCCCGCACAGATTTTGTTCGCGGTGTCTGTTCTAGTAAGTATTAAATTTTACTTTAATTCTTACAGTAAGTATAGATTATGGATTAATTTATTTTTTCTTATCTTGATTGGTGAAATTAACGATCTATATACAATCTTGTGCTCTAAAAGGGTAATGTTCTTCGAGAGTATGTATGCATGTGTGTCTATTCCTTCGGCACGCTTTGTAGCCTGAATGGCTTGATGGATTTTAACATATGAAGTGTCGTTAGTTTCGTCTCATATGCGGGAGTGACATAGGCTATATAATATTTATATATTGCATCTGAAAATACAAAAAGTGAGAAGATTTTTGGAACGGGGATACTTATCGCACGGTACGAATTTGACGGATGGGGGCTAGGCGTGAAAAAGTGTAAGATTTTTCCGTCACCACCCCGCTTTCTTATCTTGCCATGAAAGAAATATTATTTTAAATGACACTTCATTTTAATAGACGTTTATTTGTATTTGTTAATCAATAATATAATACGTTTGTCAATAATAGTATACTACGAAAGGAACTTCGTTCCAACCGAGTGTTACACGACACTTTTTTTTAATAAATTACAACAATATTATTAGATATTAGTATCAAATAAGTAAAAGTCAATTTCAAATATATATATATATATATATATATCGTATATCGTATATCGTATATATTTTTAACATTTTTATGCTAACGTTTCGACACAAACAAAAGAGAAGTGCGAGAAAGGACAGTAGTGTGACAACATCTAATACCTACTTTTCTCTTTCCAGTAAACTTTTTTTCGCAGTCGGGGTTCTTAAATTACTGTTTTAAACATTACGCTCAAGGCGGTGTTTATGATCGGTGTTCATTGTTGCTTCGTATCAGTTCGAAAATACTTAGTACTCCACTAAGGGTTTCCATACTGATACTATTTCCCGTATCGCGTCACTGGTATGACGTAGAGGCATTAGGAATTTACATATTATAGAATACATATTAGTGATTAACGGCCCCGTGGCGCAGTGGCTTAACAGTGAGTTGCAGAGCTGAGGGCCGCTGGTTCGAATCTCGCACGGAACAATTAGATATTTGTATGGCCTATAAATAATTTTTTCGGGTCTGGGTGTTCGTCCCTGTGAAATTTTTGTATGTAAACTGCTGCCACGATGAAGGAGAAAATACTATCGATTTTTTTTAAATAAATAAAAATAAATAAATAAAGAAATGTATGGTTACTTAGCTCCTTCTTGAAATCGAAGGTATTTTCAAATAATTAAATGAGCTCAGTAGTTCTGCCACCTCGTAAGCATAATTAAAACTGTAATAATTATATTATATTAATTAACAGTAATCGTATAATCCAATATAACGCAATTAGTAATCTCCACATAATCCAATTTAGTCTTTACTTAAATAATCCGATGTCCTACACAGGATTTTAGGTGTTCAACATCAACCGACCGACAAACGCAATTGCTGATCATATGAGGTTCCGAGTTCGAAACCCGGGTCGGGCCAAAAATCAGTTAATGAATTTTTCTGTCAAGAAATTCTCAGTAACAACCTGGAGTTAGAAAGTTGGCGGAGTTTCACCCCGGGCCTCGGAAAGCACGTAAAGGCGTAGGTCCTAAGACTGATCTCCGGTCGTATCAGATTACCATCCCATGTGTAAGAGTGAGGGACTAGAGGAGTGCCCCTGTGCTTGCGCATACACTCGGGCACTATAATACTGTCCTGCGCAGATGGCGGGTCTCCGTTGAGACTGGCCGTCGTGATCGGAATTCGGTCTGGAGGACATTAGAATAACATCGATCTACTTATTATCTCTTGGAAATCAAATGGCAGTGTCAGGTTCATAAGAAATATTTTTAACAATGCAAATGGTTAGAAATTTCAGACCTGGTACAATTTTACTTAAATTTCTTTTCCTGTTTGTTTAAACCAAGAACTCATAAAAAGAATTACATAACGCGAATTTATTCAGTCTTACATATTATACTGAATGAAACATTTCAAACCGTGTCCTAAATATCTCGGTTGCAAGTACAACAATTATTATGACACACACACACCAATAAGCAAGCACAAGCAATATTATGCATTTTTCCCACCGCAATGGAAACAAGAAATAACTTTTAGTTGGGAACAAAACGGTGTCTCGTGTGATGAAACAATGCTGGAACACACGCCCCCAAACAACATGAAAGTTTTTGCATGAGACATGTGACAATTTCGGCTGCGGAGTGTTGCAGAGATCATTATTTTTTTTAAATTATAGCTAAGGTTTATTTTTTATAGAATAAGTGTGAGTAGCTAGTGCACAGTCCACCCAAGGGAAAATGGATGCTATGGCCCATAGACATCTATCCTCAATGAAGAATCAAAATGTAGATGCGCTGTCACCCCCGAGAACTAAGATAGAATTCCTCGTTTCCAGTAAAATGTGTCACCAGTTCTCTACACACACCATACGAAACTCGACAGCATTGAGCTGTTATTTCGCGCCGGTGTTCTGTGAGAGCGTGGTCGAGTGGACCCACTTGTGCCACTACCATAATATAGCTGCAGTTGTGCAGCATGTCTCTATCACGTACAAAAGTTTCCGAAATGACGCCATGACTACAAGCTTTACAAGCGAAGCACAGCAACATGGATGTTGTGTTTTTGTGACACTCGATAGCAACGTATTCCGATAACAATGTCGGTGAGCGTGCCGAGTCACAGTGTTTTATCAACATATTTGTTATGTACGCGTACATTGTAATTAATGTTCATACACGTAGTGACGTAGTTATAATATAGTTGTGAGTTGGACGCATGTTATAATTAAATGAACATAATACCTAGAATATTTTACGTTATAGAACCACGCTGAAGCTATATTATGATTATTAATAACCACGCTCTCACAGAATACCAGCGTGAAATAGCAGCTTAATGCTACTGTGTTTCGTATGGTGAGTGTAGAGAACCGGAGACCCTTTTTACTCGAAACAAAGCATTCCATATTAGTTCTCAGGAGTGAAAACGCATTCTACATTTTAATTCTGAATCTATGATAGATGTCTTGGGGTTAGAGGATTTGCTTATCGTCAGGATTGGTGCTCGTTTGTCACCTTTATTATGTAAAAAAAAGATAATATGAATAAGTGTGAATTAAAATAGATAGTTGGCTACAAATTGTAAGACAGTCTCGGAGCCCCGGAAGCTTTCCATCATTACACATTATTGCATCGGGTACATGAGAAGATCTCGTTCACGAATTAAACGACCAGATTGAGCTAAATCGAACGGTCCACTGCTCAACTCGACTGACAAAGTGAAGTGAACTGGGTAAAAGTTAATTGACTCCTCCTGTCCTGTTTAAAAACATTATCACGGTTAACGGTAACATTTGAAAGGGACGAAGAGAGAACGAAGTGTGAAATATGGGTAAATCAGGAATGTCTAGAACAGGTAAATGAAATTGTATACTTGGGGAGTGCTTTTAGCCGGGATGGAAGATGTGATTTATATGTGGACAGGCGTGTCGCTGCCGGGAACAAAGTCAATGGTGCCCAGACTGCGTTAGTCAAAAGGCAAGGCGTAGCGAAGAGTGCACGCCTTGCAATACATAACGCAGTGTTGGTACCGACTTTGTTATATGGCAGCGAAACCTGGGTATGCCAGAAGAAGCATAAAAGTAAGTTGAATGCAGTGGAGATGCGATCTCTTCGTAAAATGTGCGGCATTACCATGGCCGACCGAAAGCGAAACGAAGAGATTCGCAATATGGCAGGTTTGAAAGATGACCTTATCACAAAAATTGATAAGGGCGTGCTTCGGTGGTTTGGGCACGTTGAGCGAATGAGTGAAGACCGAATGGTGAAGAAAATATATAGCGCGAAAGAAATATTAAAAGGTGTCGAGGTAGACCGAGACTAGCTTTCGAAGACCATGTGAGCAAATTGCTCGAAGAGGGTAGGGTCAAAAGTACTCGGATACCTAGACATGCATGCATGAAGAAGATAATGAATCTGAAAGAAGCGAAAGAGGTTTGTAAGGATCGTGACACTTGGCGATCTGTTCTCTCTGGCTACCCCGTCAGGGATTTTGCGTGAAGATAAGTAAGTAAGTAAGTATCACGGTGATATACATCCAGACAACAAAGCAAACATTTATTTGTAGATTGTAACACTAAGTATTGCGAAACAATTAACAGTACGAGCTAGACCTTAACGATGACTATTTATAAGAAATGATTCACAATGTTTCGCGTGCGGCCGGTTCTGACGGAACATTTTCTGCGGTAACTCCGAATGTCGTGTTGTGTTGATTCATAATCGGATTACGTGTTAGAGCTAAGCTGCAGCTATATTACGGTTGTAGCACGAATGGCTCGGCTCGACCGGGGTAGGATCACGCTCTCACAGAATATCAGCGTAAAATAGTGGCTTAATGCTGCTGTGTTTCGTATGGTGGGTGTAGAGAACCGGAGACCCTTTTTACTGGAAACGTGCCATTCCATCTTAGGCTGAGATCTATAGATCGTACTTTGACTTTGCTCAGACTTAGCTTACGACAAACTTAGCTGAGTATATGCTCAGTATAATGTTTGATTCTGAATTTATAGTTGTATGCTAAGGCCCAGACAGTCCAAATATTAGTGGATGCTTTATTCCACGCATTATGTTTTTGACTTTACTGTATAAAATTAAAAAATATACGTATTTAAAATCAAAATTACTGCATAAAATTAAATATACTTACTTATATTTAAAATCGAAA